TGGTACTGCTAGGTCATTCAATGCTAATCAAGGTGGCCAATTGCAACATTCACACCTACTACATTCTCTCCTGACGTTTCACCTGCATCTATGGCAGGCATCCTCAGAGGTCTGCTGGAAACTAGGAAAGTGGGACCAGCTAATCACCTCCCAACGAAGGATTTCCCCAGGCAGGAAGCAGCCAGACCTTGAAACTGCAAGACTATTAAATGCTAATCAAGGTGGCCAATTGCAAAATTCACACCTACATCAAACAGACAAGAGTTATTTCTACCACTTTGGACATTCCACAGATATGTAAACCCCACTTTCCTAGTTTCCAACAGACCTCACAATCTTTAAAGATGCCTTCCATAGATGCAGGCGAAATGTCAGAAGGGAATGCTTCTGGAGTGATGGCCATACAAACCGGGAAACTCACAGCAACCCAGTGATTTTGAGGATGAAAGCCTTCAAGAATATATTCGTAGGGCCCTTCTACACTGCCCTAAATAATCCAGATGACCCACACTGATAACCTGGATTATATGGCAGTGTCGAAGGAGCCTTAGAGGACACCTGTGAGTCTATGATCAATCTTATTAGAGAGATGTTCTCTTAGGTAGAAAAAATAGCAATACTTTGTGATTTTTCACTTTTGCAGGGGTTGTTTGCCCCGAATTCCAAAAAACACGGAAGGCTGAATGCACATTTTATTTTAACGCAATGTACCTTCCTCTAGGTGGCAATGGCACATATTTTACAAGGCCAAGACGGAAACATTGGCACATGGGATGGAGTTTTTGCAACCTGTACTCATACCTCCCTTTTTCCAGTAACTTATGCATGTGAGAAAGGAGCGTTCTCCTCCGTCTCCAGGTAGCCACACGTAATAAAAGCGCCTCAGACCCTTAATTTATCCTAAATTGAGTCTTAAAAGAGTTCCAGGAGTCTCCTACGTGGCTTCACATCTCCTCCTAGTTTTAGACAGAGTCAGCCTTCGAAGGCATTCTGGACTCAGGACTCTCTTACAACTTGGCCAAGCGGAAGTCGCAAAGCACAGAACAGCGGCAGACAGGCGAGACCGTCGGCTGCGCGTAACCGGAGCCGCTTGCTCCCTTTTTCCTTGGCCCACCTGCGTGGGGACCTTGCGAGGAGGAGCCAAGGGAGAGCCGGGCCCGCTTGCTGGCTTCCCCTCCTGGCCTCCGGCACCGACACTGCCTGCCAGGCTCAGAGAAAGGCGGCAGTGTCTGCCTTCCAGCACAAACACGGCTCCGGACAAACGCCCGATTTAGAAAAGAGGGCTGCTGTCTCACCCGGCTTTGTTTACCCTTCCCTCCTGCGTGGCTCTTTGGCTCAGGAAGGCCACGTCCCACCCTTCTGAGACTACGCGTCCTCCGGTTGCTTCACGGGAATCTATGAATCCTCAAACTTTCCCTCTGCGTACTTTTGCAATCCGACCTCAAACGCCTTAACGTGGACTACCTGGGATTGTTCCATTATGCCCACATAAAGGCTGTTGGTGTGCACCTTTGAGTTGTTTCCAACGTATAGCAGCCCTATCACAGGGGCATATGATTCGTCCCAGGTCACTTGGTAGGTTTCAGAGGCCAAGTAGGAATTTGAACCTCTGGAGTTGGGTTCAGATTCCTGTTTGGCCTCCAAATACTACATCACACTGTCTCTTTCCAAAATTACCCTCAGAGTAATGGGCTCAGATGCATGGTGGGCAAAGCCACGCAGACAGGGCTGGGGATACAGCACAACCACGTCCGTCTCTTATCATTAAGGCGACCAAACTGAAAACCAGAAGCAAATTATTTACCTTTAAGCCCCTTCTACACTGCCATATAAAATCCAGATTCTAGGCTGGATTGTTGACTCATATACCGTATATTCCGGCATATAAGACGACTGGGCGTATAAGACGACCCCCAACTTTTCCAGTTAAAATATAGAGTTAAGACGACTCCCATGCATAAGACTACACCTGCGTATAAGACGACCCCTGACTTTTGCGAAGATTTTCTTGGGTTAAAAAGTAGTCTTATACGCCAGAATATACTGTAATCTAGTTCAAAGCAGGTAATGTGTCTTATCTGCTATAATAATCTGGATTATACGGCAGTGTAGAAAGGGGCCTTAGAGGTCATGCAAAAAAAGGGAATTTCAGCAGGTGTTGCTCATCACCCAAGGCAGACCACTGGCTGAGCATGTCAGCAGTGTGATGCAAAAACTCTAAAAAGCCAATCTAATTCTGTACCGGATCAATTGGAATATAGTAGGAGGACATGCGGGGACATGAGAGAAGCCTCTCACAAGGATGGTAAAACATCAAAACATCCGGGCGTCCCTTGGGCAACGTCCTTGCAAACAGCCAATTCTCTCACACCAGGAGCGACTTGCAGTTTCTCAAGTCGCTCCTGACACTATCTATCTATCTATCTATCTATCTATCTATCTATCTATCTATCTATCTATCTATCTATCTATCTATCTAGTGCCTAGATCAGTGGTTCTTGACCTGTGGGTCCCCAGGTGTTTTGGCCTACAACTCTCAGCCAGTTTACCAGCTGTTAGACTTTCTGGGAGTTGAAGTCCAAAAACATCTGGGGACCCCAGGTTGAGAACCACTGGTTTAGATCAAGGGAAGCAAAAAATATTACTCTATTCTGCACTGGTCTGATATTATCTGAAATCTGGACACTATATCCTTCAAGAATATGGACATGCTGCTACATATCCAGACAAGAGCAACCCAAATAGCCAAAGCCAGAATTCCCATTTTGTGCACCCACTACCAGTTCAAAAATTGCTTCTGGATTTCACCAGTCGTCCTAATGTTCCTCCGAAAGGAGGTGTGGGTGGTGCATCTCCCAAGTCCAGGGGTGGGAATTGTGTTGCCCTCCAGATGTTGTGGGATTGCAACTCACAGCATACCTCACTCTTTTGGTTCTGATGCTCAGGATTGTTGGGGAATGCTGCCCAACACCTGGAGGATGGCATCATTCCCCTCCCYGATGGCCTTATGGAAAGCTCACAAGGGAAAACTTAGCTCTAAGTAGCCCTTCTGGGAATGGGTTTGCCCACTTGCTTCCTGACACTTTTGGTTTTGCATAACTGTGCCAAACTCAGGAGGAAAACAGCTCCAAAGTTGGCATGCCTCTGGTCTTCCCAAACATCCATTTTTGACATGCCCCCTTCTTRCAAAAKKATGCATCATTSCCATCCTTGATGGCCTTATGGAAAGATCASAAGGGAWAACTTAGCTCTAAGTAGCCCTTCTGGGAATGGGGTTGCCCACTTGCTTCCTGACACTTTTGGTTTKGYATAACTGTGCCAAACTCAGGAGGAAAACAGCTCCAAAGTTGGCATGCCTCTGGTCTTCCCCAACATCCATTTTTGACATGCCCCCTTCTTGCAAAAGTATGCATCATTCCCATCCTTGATGGCCTTATGGAAAGATCAGAAGGGAAAACTTAGCTCTAAGTAGCCCTTCTGGGAATGGGGTTGCCCACTTGTTTCCTGACACTTTTGGTTTGCATAACTGTGCCAAACTCAGGAGGAAAACAGCTCCAAACTTGGCATGCCTCTGTTCTCCCCAACATCCATTTTTGACATGCCCCCTTCTTGCACAAGGATGCATCATTCCCATCCTTGATGGCCTTATGGAAAGATCACAAGGGAAAACTTAGCTCTAAGTAGCCCTTCTGGGAATGAGGTTGCCCACTTGCTTCCTGACACTTTTGGTTTTGCATAACTGTGCCAAACTCAAGAGGAAAACAGCTCCAAAGTTGGCATGCCTCTGTTCTCCCCAACAACATCCATTTTTGACATGCCCCCTTCTTGCAAAGATGTGGGACAAGCGAAGTCCCAAATGTAAGGTATTTCATTACAAAATCTCCCACCCCTCCCAATCCCTTTGCCCACCCTTGCATGCACTCAGGCACGGACACACACAACCCAAGGAACGGAAAACCTTGACTGCAACTTCTCCTCCGTCTGCTCTGCAACATTTCTCAACTCCTTCCTTTACTCCTTACTCAAGGAAAAAAAGGTAAACAGGGCTCGAGGTCCTTTTCAAGCAGTTCTAACCTATGGCTAGGAGGCGAATGGGACAAAACAACAACAAGAAGAAGAGGAAGAGAAGGGGAAGAAAACAACAACGAGAAGAAAAAGCAGGAGAGAAAGTGTCTCGGGAGAGGAGGAGGAAGAGGAGGAGGAGGAAGTAAAAACACACACTCACACAGATAACATGCAAAAGACTCTTTTACGACAGGGAGAGGAGCCAAGCAAGGCTCCTTTGGATCCTTGCAGCCGGCAGCAAACTCCTGCCCAAAAGCCAAAGGGCCTCTTCCGACCCCTTCCTTGTATCTGTCCCAACATCCTGCAGGATATTTCAGCCAAACACACATTTACAGGTTTGCATATGAACACGGCAGGTGGATTCGGGACACTGACAATAACCCAGAGCAGCAGGGAGTGGGATTTTTGGGGGTCCTTTGGGGGGATGACCTCTAGCAACGCTTCCTTCGCCCCCGTGTCCTTCCTCGAGAAAAGGCTGCAGGAGGAGTGCGCAGCACACCCAGCGCAGCCTTCGCTCCCCACTCACTGCCGTGTAAACAAGTGCACAAAACTCAAAGCCACTCTTTTTTGGGAAGGGAAAGGGCCTTTCTTCCTTTTTTCTTTCATGCCCACCTCTCCCTTCCCCAAAACACAAAGCCCGGCTCCAATCGCAGGGTTGAACGTCGGCGAAAATGCGGTGCGTATTTACAGCCAATCAACGCGTTCTTCCCTTCTTCTTGAACACGCTTCAGCAATATATGTAAAAGTCTCTTTTGTTTTACAATGGTACAAAAGGAGAAAGAGAAAGGCTTTCCTCTTGGCCCCCCGCATTCCCCACACCCACCGGAGGCTCGCCAGACTATTCTCTTGCCCCTAAGATGCCAGCCCTTGTATGCTCTCCTAGGCACCACAGTTAAGTTGAGCCGTCACAAGAAATCCTCCCCAAAAGATCCCACTTTTTGTTTTGTTTTGTTTTGGACGACATACCGGTTAAGCTAAACAACCCTTTCACAAAATGAGAGCAAAGGGGGAGGAAGGAAAGGAGACGGAGAGGGAAGGGAAGGAGGAAAGAGCAATGAAAAGGCGGCGAGGCGTCTCCAAGGGTCCTTCCCACATCCCAGGATTCATCGTCAACTTTTCCCACTGGTCCAGCAGCCAAATCCTTCCCACGGCCAGCGCTGACACTCCTCCAGCTTCTAGATTGTTGAGGTCCGGTCCACACCGTCTGAGAAAACGTTGATACATGCCCATTAACACAATCTTCACATGAACACACACATACAAAGTCACCAAATTGGGTTCCCATGGATGAGTGGGGAATTCGAACTCAGGCCTACAGAGTTGTAGTTCAACGCTTAAAGTACTAGGGCCACGTTGGCTTCACAGAGGAAAATAAGAGCGACACGTACCTCCCAGGGCATGTTCGGTCATACTGAGGCACAAGGACTCCAGCCTGTTATTGATATCAGGTTCTGTCACTGGTACCTGGAACTCTGTTGAGGGAACGGGAAGAATATTTAATCTGCTGTAATCTGCTCTGAGTTCCCTAGGGGAGAGGGACGGAATATAAATAAAGTGTATTATTATTATTATTGACACAAAAGCACACTATGTCACAGCAAACCAGATCTATATGCTGGATTTCTATCACAAAATCACAAGTCGAACACTTCCCAAGCGTCTAGGGCTGTGTGATGTACGAGGGGTATTTTTTAAGTAAGGTCCGTTTTGTTGTAGACACTAGTAGTTTGCGCGCATACCGCAACGAGCGCATGTGTCGTGTACCGGCATGCCTCGGGAACAACTGTGCTCAGTTTCCGCTCTGTAGCTCACCTGTACAGTTCTGTTCTGTGCTTTAAAAATGTTTAAGACTATCAACGCACCCTCTGCATGTGAGGTTTGCTCAGTGATACGGTTTTTTGTCCATAAGGAACCTGCCTGCTGCAGAAATTCATCGACAGATTTGTGAAGTGTACGGTGATACTGTTATGAGTGAAAGCAAAGTGCGTAAGTTGGTACGACAATTCAAAGATGGCTGTGACAATGTCCATGATGAGGACCGCTCCGGTCGCCCTTCTTTGATTACAGATGATTTGATTTGATTGCACACTTAAATCTTGTGGTCCTCTGTTAGGAGTTTCGGGACCCAACGGGAGCACAGTTTCCTAAACTTTAGGTGTTCAGAAACAATGTTGTAAAGCACTGATCTCGACACGTCAGGAAATTCATTTGAGAGACCTGTTATTGTGAAGCGCCTGTTCTCACGAATCCTCGTTTCAACTGAAGCCACCAAATCGTCTGCAATCAAAGAAGGGCGACCGGAGCGGTCCTCAGACCCTTGATCATTTTAGTCGCCCTCCTCTGGACACATTCCAACTTGTCAATATCTCTCTTCAATTGTGGTGCCCAGAATTGGATACAATATTCCAGGTGTGGTCTAACCAAAGCGGAATAGAGCATGGGGAGCATGACTTCCCTGGACCTAGACACTAGGCTCCTCTTGATGCATGCCAAAATCCCATTGGGTTTTTTTGCTGCCACATCACATTGTTGGCTCATGTTTAACTTTTTGTCCACGAGGACTCCAAGATCTTTTTCACACGTACTGCTCTCCAGCCAGGCATTGTCCCCCATTCTGTATCTTTGCATTTTGTTTTTCCTGCCAAAGTGGAGTACCTTGCATTTGTCCCTGTTGAACTTCATTGTGTTAGTTTTGGCCCTTCATCTCTCTAGTCTGTCAAGATCGTTTTGAATCCTGCTCCTGTCCTCTGGAGTATTGACTCTCCCTCCCAATTTGGTGTCGTCTGCAAACTTGATGATCCTGCCTTCTAACCCTTCATCTAAGTCATTAATAAAGATGTTGAATAGGACCGGGCCCAGGACGAAACCCTGCTGATGGCACTCCGCTTGTCACTTCTTCCCAGGATGAAGAGGAAGAAGCCTTGGGGAGAATCCCCCTCTGGGTTCCTCCACTTAACCAATTACAGATCCACCTCACTGTAGTTTTGCCTCGCCCACATTGGACTAGTTTGTTTGCCAGAAGGTCATGGGGGACCTTGTCAAAGAAGGCCTTCCTGAAATCCAGGTACGCTACATCCACAGCATTTTCATGACAGAAACAATTAGAAAATGTCATTTACAACCCAGGAACAAAAAATGTGTTACCGGGTTGTGGCGCAGCTGGTTGGGAGTCAGCTGCATTAAAATCACTACTGACCAAAAGGTCATGAGTTCGGAGCTAGCCTGGGTCGCAGTAAGCTCCTGACCATTTGTCTAGTTTGCTGTTGACCTTGGCAGCTCGAAAGATAGTTGCATCTGTCAAGTAGGAAATTTAGGTACCGCTTTATGTGAGGAGGCTACTTTAACTAATTTACGACGCCCTAAAATCTCCAGCAGTGTGCAAAAGAATGAGGAAGTACTCCATCAGTGTCACAAGTGGATGGTGAAGCGACAGCTCCCCTGGTGGCCGGAATTCGAGCATACCTTCATGAAGCTGGAAAGTTAAATAGCTGATGTGTGTTTGTTTATATATGTTTATCAGAGATCCAGGATATCTGCATGCCCATCCCCTCCAAACACCCCACCTTGTCATGCCCAGCACTTTTAATTTTAATTATTACATTTGGCCTGGCCATTGTTTTTAATTGCGTCATTGGGTGTTGTCAATGTTATTGCTTTTTTTTTGAGTTATTGTGTTGTTGTTGTTGTTGCTGTTTTTATTGTTGTATTTGGGCTCGGCCTCTTGTAAGCCACACCGAGTCCTTCGGGAGATGGTAGCGGGGTACAAATAAAGGATTATTATTATTATTATTATTATTATTATTATTATTATTAATATGCTGTGTGGCTAAATGGTATTGAATGTTTGCCATGTATATGTGCATTGTGATCCGCCCTGAGTCCCCTGTGGGGTGAGAAGAAGGGCGGAATATAAATACTGTAAAATAAATAGTAAATAAACTCACCAATTTGGTGCATAATAGGCATTGCTCTATGTAGTGAAATCTACCTTTAAGGCGTCCACGCCGAAGCCTGAGTATCAGTAGCTGTCATCTTGAAAGACAGGCAGAAGCAGGAGGAGGAGTCAAGCCGACTCCTGATTGGTCAGAGCAATTAGGGAAGGAGTTGGTTGAGAGAGGGAAAGAGGCTGTCAGCTTTTGACAGGGAGAGAAGTGTCTTGACATCAGACACAGAAGGAAGGGATTTTTAGGAGAGGAAGCTAAATAGGAGTCTGACAGGGAAAGAAAGCTTTAAAGTGAGCCTTAAGGATAGGGAATAAGTTGCAGACAAAGGCTAGGGTTACTGTATTGAGAGGATCAGTAACAGAAAGACTTGTCTTCTTAGACTTAGGAGAAGTTTAAGAGAGCTTATTGCCCTGTGTGTGAGACAGATAGGAGTCTGTTCTCTAAGTGGTACTGTTTCTAAGAATAGAACAGTGTGTTTAAGGCAACTCACAGTTTTAAAAGCTTTATTGTCAGAAGA